TAGTAGTAGTAGTGGTGGTGGTGATAGTGCTGCGCTAGGTGCTAGTGCTAGTCCTGAGCAGGATTACTGTTCTCCCTCTAGTGCCTTCTAGGGTGCTTCCTGTGCCCTCCTTCAGCAAAACCCACCCCCAAACCCAAGCAAAACCCAAAATTCAGACGAATAGTGGTCAGGTGGATAGTTTGTGCGTGCCTGCCAAGTGTCAGCGGGTCTTACCTTGGCCTTGGGTGGCTTTAGCTTGCTTGCCTGTAGCGTTTAGGTACGTTTCATCTTTCGTCTCCATCCCCGCTTCGGATAAAAAACCCTACACATAATACGATTTCTCGACTTGGACGGGCCGCGCCATGCCACGCCACATCAGTTTGTGTTTAATAGTGTTGCTCCAAAGCGGGTTTAGTAGTTGTCAACTGAAAGTCAAATGAAAACAATGAAATCCACTTGAATTCAGGTGAAATCAACTGAAAGCAATTAACTCCAGTCGAAAACCCCACTAAACTTGGTTGAAATGTAGGCAAAGAAAGTCAATTAAAGTCCGAGTAAAATCAATTTTCTAGCCTGATTATAATCAAGTAAAGTCCAAGTGATACCAATTGACAATCTAATTAGGATCAATCCGAAATCTATTCGCCATATTTTGAAATCAGGTTAAAATCCAACTAACAACAGTTGAGCTCTAATCAGAATCATTTTTACATAATTCTTACAAAGCAATTAAAGGCTATGTTTCTTGGCCAGGGTCTAATCAAGGCCTCTAATGGACTGCTCCCTGGAGCTGGGGTCTCTTAGTTTCTGCATTTCGGATTTCTGTGATATCTAACCTTACAGGTGGAACTCTGGAATCTAGATCCTTTAAGTCCTGAGGAGCGGGGGCCAAGGGCCTGTTAATTTTCAAGGTATAGTAGTTTAAGAAAAAACGTGTCTCAGAGAGCACGTGCAAGCCGTTTCTGCTGTGTTTTCTTGGTTAAAGCTAGCATAATTCAAGTTAGGGATTGCGCATTTGTTGCTTTGTTATTCTGACCTATCCCCCAAAGCATTCTATCATCGCGATCCCCGCTGCCAAAGGGGTTCAACATCAAGGTCAAGTGGACATGAGGATAGCTTGGCTGTTGCCTGCTCCTGTGCTTGCTGGAGCCTGTGCCGCAGCACGTGTTTTTTGCCTGGCAAGGCAAACTAGCACTGCAACAACATCCAGACAAAGGACAGCATCAACCAACTTGTGCATTCAACCTTTTCTCTAACCGCCAGCAAAGATTCAAACTGGGTGGTCACTTGTTTCAGGAGGATCGACTGCAGCCTTCCAGGTGCTTTGGCTGAACTTTGCTAGGCATTTTGCATTGATTGAACCTGCGTGTTGCGGTGGGCAAGGAAGGGTCTTCATCTCAGGCCTTGCAAAGTTCGTACGAGGCACTTCTGAAGGCCGTCTCCCACTAGCAGCAGGAACAGAGGCAGCCTGCTGGGCCTGACCGAACATTGAGTGGATCCTTCAGCAGCGTTACTGACTGAGAGGTGACAGGGGACCTTTCTCACCGCCTGGGTGAGCGCTGTGAGCTTCAGGGAGGTCATCGGTGTCTTCAATTGCGAAGCTTAAACGGATTGATCGAAGTCTAGGTATCTGTGATTGCGCCAGAACGCGATGTTCAGGCAGCAATGCTGGCCAACTTGCTAGCAAAGCTCTGCGTTGATTTTCTTTGGCTCCGCTCTAGCCAGTGTACAGAGAGCAGGCGAGGCTCTGGAAGATCACTTGCTGAAAAAGTTGGAGACCGGCTCAAGTGGCACAGCATGGGAGGACTTTTTCGAACTTGTGCAACCAAGGTCTGGACCCGTGCGCGCCATGCGCCTTTCAGAAGGGCAGGACAACCTGTTCTTCGGAAGTGCAAAGGGCTAGTCAGGAGTTTAGCCTGAGCTCCGTTTTGCAGTGCCTTGCCATCTCCGAGCTCGAGATTCCAACACCATGGTGTGGACAATTTAATGCCAAGGATCAGGATCAATGCCTGCGATGCCCTTGTGCCTGCCGAAGAAGAAGGCTCAGTCTTACGGACGCAGATTCGAACGTCTATCAAACAAGCAGGATGCGGTGCACTCAACAAGTTGCTGGGGCCATTGCGAAATATAGGGAGTTGAAGCAGAACATCAGCCGACTGTGGTGTCAAGCTTGACACGCAGAGTAGTTCAATCGAAGCTTCCTGCTTGCGTGCATGTTCTTGTCGCTGGCCACCGTAACGATGACGCTGCCGACTGGGCGGCCGAATGCCGATCTCTTCAGCAAAGCAGCCGAAATGCTGCCTCCGTGTCTTGGCTTTTTGGAGTGATGAGTTCAGTCTCGCAGAATTGCCAGGTCTGCTCACCCTGTATTGAGATGCATGTTTCCGAATCTCATGGCCCAATCATGGCTGCCAGGTTTGAAGCCGAAAGCGAAGCAGGCATGGTGTCTTCAGGCAGCTGTCTCCTGCGATATCCTGTTTTTGCAAAGATCCGCCTGTTGACGTGCCGGCACGAAAGTCGCAAGCATTCCTGCAATGAATGGAGAGTGAAGGCTCCTGCCAACGAAGCCTTTCAGCTGATGGTACTGCTGCTTCATCTTCCAGATCGCGTGGCTGAGATGCGAAATGGAAGGAAACAATTGAAAGCACATTCTGCTGAATGGGCTTGTATGTGTCTGACCTAATGCATCTGATGCATGCTGAGCACATTGAAGGGCAGGGCATCGCCAGCTCAGCAGATGTTGATGCGTCAGTTCCAAGTGATACACTACACTGCAAGTCGCAAACGCATCGGCACAGGCATTCTGGGCACTGAAAGTGCAAGTCGTCGCGCTGCTAGTCAGGGGCGTGGCGTGGTTGCATTCTTTGTCCTGGCCTCCTTGCGCGCGACAGCTGGTAGCAGCTGGTGCGAGTATGTGCTGAGGCTCCGGTTTGGGGAGCCTTGCCTGCCTGGGTGCCGCGCTTCAAAGCGCAGATGCCAGAGGTGCCTAGTAAGGGCCTAGTAGCACAGAAAAGGGACGCGATTGCCCTAAGCACCCGCGAGATCAAGCCATTTATGGCCATAGGGCAGGCTCGCCACAAAAGTCAATTGCTCAGCTTGGCAAAGCTTGCAGATGGCAACGTGAACAGTCAAGTTGTGTAATTTTATTTGATGACACTGCATGAACTCTGACGCTCATGCTTCTGGTCAGAAGACTGCCTCCGGACATCGGCTGGGCCGGAGGACTCAGGGTCAGCTGCAGCCAGGAGGCATTCAGAGGTGTCAGTACTGTCTGCCCCTTCTGCCCTCCCCCACCTCTCATCCCTCCTGGGCCTCCCCTCTGGTCTCTCTCTGCCAAGAGTGCCAAGGCCAAGGAAAAGGCGCTATTCTGCAAAACACACGGTAAGGCCAAGAATCACTGAGGAAGCTGAGGTCGTCATGATAAGATGCCCCTGTCTGTGAGGAGTTTGGAGAGGCAGGTCGTTCTGGAACGAGAATGGAAACATTGCTGTCTGGCATGGAGAAAAGGTCAGCCTCAACTTAAAACCTGGGCAACAGTGGCGGTAGCTGATTTCATCGTCCAAGACTGAGGCACCGCTGCGTATCCGACCACCTAAGGGCCAGCCAGACACTGGATGCTGGCGTCAGCGCGCCTACGTAGATGTGGAGGAGTCGCGCTGCAGTACCAGCTGGAGATTGCGTGCTTGATTCTGTTCAACGGTTTGTTTTGAAGTCTTGCTTGCACCGGCAGCCGTGTGCCCAGAAGAGGTTCAGATTTGAAGAGTATCGGCATAGCTTATCATAGCCTGCCATGGCCGTGCGACCTGAGCGTGTTGAAGATTGGTTCCATTTGGCCCCAGGTTTGCTTTCCCAGGATGGATGGGAGATCAGCTTGGCAAGGCCTTTGTCTACCCTTTCGCATTGCGTTAGCCCTTGGGGTGGCCACCTCATCAAGTTTGCCTACCAGGACCGAACAGAGACAATAAGACACTCAAAAGGCAGAGGAACAGTTTCCCAGGGATGAAGTGCCAGAGCTGTCATTTGCAGGACATAACCATCAACGATGCCCCGGAGAATACCGCAGGTGTGATTGTCAGGCCGGAGGTGCGGGCGTGGAAGCACACTACAAATCCAACCCCTGGCTCGAGCTTCGAAGTCTTGAATCAGTGCCTTATCCGCAGCAAGCCAGCCTGAAGGAAATTGCAGACACTGCTGTGGAACTGAGCACCCTGTCCAGGCTGGCTCCTGGCGATGCAGTTGTAAAGCGCTGGGCCTCGTGGCGGCTGCTTCGGCTTTGCAGCGTTCTCTTCGGCGATCTTGCTGGCCACTTCATGAATTATTTCTTTTACGACCCATCGAAGCAGACTGAACTACATCAGAGGGTCTCTTGGGCTTGGCAAGTTGCTGGTGTGGTTGCTTGTGTGTTGACATCGATCCCTCCAGTACAATGCTGAATAAGGTTGGGTCTTGATTTGTGTGGACCCCCGAACAAAGAGGGGAGCCTCTACAATCCAAAGTCCTCAACACGAACTGGGGGGTCTGGGGATCCTATGGCTCCCACAAAAGCTGATGAGGGAAGGGAGTTCCTTCCGCTTCTTTTGAATTCATTGGGAATGGCGAGAAGAGAGGGAAGGAAAGTAAGTAGTTCAGTTTAGTTTAGCCTCGTAGAGAAGGAAGGGCTGGGTCCTTGGCAACAGAGCTCGGCCTTATGTTTGAAGGCTTAGCCCTGAAAACCTTTGCAGATGAATTACACTCTAGTTGAAATTGCTGAGTATCTATTTGAATTACATTTCAAGGAGAACCAAGAAGAACTGGAATTGTACAACTCTACGAATTAAAAAGAAATTTGAATGGCCTCACCATTAACGCACCAAAAAGCCTTTACATAACCGAGTCTCCCCAAATCTTGTACATTATGGAAGATCAGGGGGTCTGCCGACCCCGTTGAAATTTGATTGCCTACCCTGAAGCAGTTTCATGAGAAATCGATGGTTTTTGGAGGCATCAGAGTCCAGATTTTTCCGTCGGTGCTAGAGCCTGGCCGTTTCATTCAAAGGCGTGGCCTTTCAATCTAACAGCTTTTTGGTTTCACCATCTACCCACCCAAAAAACCTTTACATAATTGAGCACCCCCCCCTATTGCCTAGCCTGTTCGAACACGCGGTTTAATGAGACATCGATGGTTTCTGGTGGCATCAGATGTCAGGTTCCACACTAATAGAGCCCGGCCTTCATATTTAAAGGTTTGTGTTTTAACGTCAAAAGAATTCTGGCCTCATCATAAACCTTGAACAGATTTTTGGCAGAGAAGCTTTACTAAAATTGACACCCATCAAATTGAAAAAGTGTGTCCATAATAAATTTCTGAAAACGTTGCTTTATTCTTGCCCCCCCCCCCCCTCCCCGGTGCACTAATCAGGATTCGACATTCCCAAAACCACATCTTTATAGGACGGATCCGCTCGCTTTTTGTTTGTCATGTAAACCCCAGTTCCGCTTGGAGTTTCGAAGGTAAGACGAGACTACCCCGAGCGCGGGGACAGTGCGTGTGCATTCTTTGATCAGTCTGAGCCACTTGAGGGAATTTTGGTGTCTTGGCAGAACTCCAAGTGGCTCCAGTAGGCCAAAAATGCTATATATATATATACACATACATATAGGGCTTATATAGAGAAATATAGGGAAACATAGGGACAATGGAAAAGAAAATGGAACCTACTATTTAGGGTTTAGGGTAGCTTCAAACCAAGGTTTGCCGGCCCCAAGAAGATCCGGAGAAGTTTTTGGTGACTTGCATACTCCGCGTTCCAGAAGACAAGTTTGCAAACTGGGCGAAGATCCACTACATGATGCTGTTAATCGGCTAGCAACAAGAAAAGGTTTGTGCGCGCCTACAGAAATTTGTTGTTCCACGCAGCAGCCAGGGGCTTCATATAAAGGGCTGTCACAATCACAAATGGGTTCTATGGCCATTCTGGCACTCAGGTTGGAGTCTGGTCGCCGGACAGCTCAGTGGTTCCTCAACCGTCCTGGGGTCTCAGAGATGCGATCCCTGGATCAGCAATTCTATGTTGCACTTCGCCAGCAAACATTCGCTTGCCAGTGGCTTGGAGGGAGTGTCCCTGACTGCTACAAACTATATCCCTTAACCCCAACATAACCTGTAATCCCTTTACAGGTACCCCCAATTTTAGGAAGCCCCAAAATCTATCCTTGCTGACGAGTCAGGTCCTGGCCATTCAGAGCTTCAAGCGAGGCATGCCTCAGCCACTTGTTTGCAGTCTCCTTAGGAATTCTCTTTTATCTTCATTGACAGGATAGCCATAAAGAACTATTATTAAGAATATTGTTACTATTTTAGGTCTGGGGCGATTGCAAGAATTGACCAACTTAAGAACTGTTGGTATTTGTGATGCTTTGCCCAGGCTTCCGGTGCAGTCACCGAACCCCGGAGATACCGTGACACGAATTGATGCTGGCCAGCGTATGGGCTTCGCAGCTGCAGCAGATAATCATGAGTGACAATGAAGTTCATAATTGTGGCTGCGGGAATTCCGTGCTCAGGACTTACCACCTGGGTTCGGTACCACCCAGGCTTTTGGATGGGTCAGCCTACATGTCGCATCAAGCAAGGTGAACACGGAGCGAATCACTATTTGTAGATGCTACTGCTGGAGGCATGGCTGGCAGCAACAAGTTCTATCTGTCGGACTACATCCAACTGTTTCTGGACGGGGGTGTCGTGTGCATTTGCACAGATTCTGCTACTGAGCTTGGCCCTGCTGTCACTCGGCTAGATCCAGCATGTGCTACGCCAGGAGAACATCGGCGAGACTGCTCATACGTATAACCTTCTGGACAGTCGCCAGCTTGTTCCGTACCAATGCACCTGGGCTCGGAGTATGCCAGAGGGGCTGATATTCTGTGCAACGCAAAGCAGGCTGAACGCAAACTTTCATCATGACATGCCTCCTGAAACCTCAGGGGTAGTGAGACCGGCTTAGCGGCTTAGCCAAGCTTAGGCGTGGTGCCACGGGAAGAGTGGAATCGCGTTCGCACACGCTTTTTTGAAGCTTTCACGCTTCAGAAGACAGCCTACCGCCGCGCCAATGGGGGATCCACGGCACCAGGTGTGCACGAAGGCGTAGAACCTCGCTTTCTGCCCGATGCGGACCTTGCACTGCTCAGGGAACGCATTAAGTTTGCCCAGCAGCAGCCCAAGATCGTGGTGCGGAACACTTTTGTGGAGATGGATGAGGAGGACGATGAAGAAGACGACGAAGAGTTCAAAGTTGAGCGCCGCAACACCAGACGTCCGAAGACAATGTCACACCTGCGTGTAGATTGCTCTGTTGTTGTTGCATGATGCAATGGAGCTAGTACAGGGAGGAACTGCTGCTCCCAGGATATGGAGGCACGTGGTATCTAGTTGTGTGGTGTACTTTCGATGCCCTTTCTTCAAGAGCCTGCAGACATGCACCTCGTCTTGGTGCTGCATGGCCATACAGCATCCTCCATGACATGCGCTCTCCCTTTGCTATCCCATAGTCTGTACAGTTGAGGGCTTTTCATGGAAGGGTGAAGGCATCGAAATTTGTGTCGGCAGCCAAGCCGTAACTTGTAAAGAAACGGCATCCTGCAGACTTCACCAGTATAGTCACCAGCAATGATTGCGAATTTGTTCAGTCTAGAATTCTTCAAAAGCACCAGTGCATGTAATGTACAGAAAGCAGCTCCTGAACATCAAACTCTTGTGCACAGACGTGGCTAGATCGGTGTTGCACCCAAAGCGTGCGCGCAACATGTGCCACAGGAGATGTTCCGGAGCACTTGCTTTTTCTCAATTCCTCGAGCCGATGCACCACCTCTTGTGCCCAGGCTCACACACACGTGAAGCTAGAGGCAAGCTTGCTCTGCCTTTTCCATTGGGAATCTGGCACCGGCATGAGGATCTCGCCACAGGGTCTGTCATTTGCATGCTACGTATCCCCTGCAGACTCGAAGTGAACGCGACAGAAAGAGCTTGCACGGGAGAGCATAGCTGCATGGCCCTCCTATGTTTTGGTTCGGGGTGGTGGAGGTTATTGTCTGTTGCAGGAGCACCAAAATCTTCGAATCGAGTTGCGGCAGCTCAAGCGAGAAGTGAGCCATCAGACTGAGCTGCGACGCGCGCTGCAGGCAAAGCCTTCAAAAGCTTGGTCACTGCTTTTAGATTCGACAGGAGAAGCTGCTTTGCGATGGTTTGTTTGTCTCTGATCCTTCAAGCAATCTGACTGCCAGGTTTTACTATGCGTTCTGCAATTCCATAGGACTTCCATGAGCAAAAGCCTTCGCCCATGTTCGCAAGGCAAGCCTGGACAGTGAACGTGCCACTTGAAGGAATTTCACAGATTAGTCGAGATCTGTCTTGTTGAGAGGCATATGGGTAGTTCCGAAATTAGGGTCCCTTCTTACATGTTGGGTGCCATAATACAACCTATAAGCCAAAGAGGCCCGTAATTTTGAGAAGAAACCTTATAGTTTAAGCAAGAATGTCTTTGGAGTTGTGTGGTTGAGGCCTTCTAATGTCGAACGGCATCTAGCGAAGCCATGAACAGTGCCAGAGCAACCAACAATAAGCGTGAACATCACGCTTTTGCAAGCGCTTCCGTCACGGCTTGTCAGAGCAACGATGCAGATAATGCTTCTGCAAATGGACTGGAAACATCACAACACAAGAATCAACGTAAAGTTGTGCTGCTGCGCTTGGGCAGAAAGTCAGTCCACACTTCTATCCACATTCGAGCTTGAAAGCCAGGACATTTTCGTGTAGACATTGCTGCGATAGAGCACAAGGAACGTGCTCATTTGAGTAGCTCAGGGTCCTCAGCTGTGCCTTGCTCCCACTATCTCCCACTGCTGTGCCAAGTAAATCTGAAATTGCTGTCTGCATTTCTCGTTCATCGCCGTTGACTGGAAACCTTATGTGCGGAAGTTTCACGGAAGGAGCATGTCATCTCTGAAAGATGTAGGTGAAGGGTTACGGCTACGTGTTGTAGCGCAGGAATCAGAACCACTGAGAAAGTATTCAAAATGTCGTTCACGGAATCCTTGATGTTCCGTCCCTATTCAACAAAATGCACCTGCTTCAAACCGTTTGAGCGTTAATCGTCGGGTCCTGAAGAGCCATTAGGCCTACATGAACTGCATATCCAAGGAGCATTCTGCAGGCCTCTCGAAAGCCAATGATGAGCTGATGAGGTGCATTTGTGAACACCTAATAGGTTGGCAGCCAGAGTCCCACGCACCTTCGCCGCAAGCAATACATGAAGCCATGCTGTGCCATTGTCAGGGCATCCGAGGAGCAGCTTCGAGGCGGCCACCCTTGCTGGTGCGTAGGGCTAAATCATGCAGAGGATATCTTCGAGCAGCCTGTGAATGTCACTTCCTACTGGCGCCAATGCCTGGCATTTTGACTGAGCATCCTTGGGGAGACAGCAAAGTATGGCTGATGATAAAAGTTCCAAGTGAAGGAAAACACTCGTGTGAACTATGTGCTTCTGTGAGGTCACCGCCAGGTGAGTGACGCTGAAACAGCAGAACTCGAATCTCAGGCCCTTTGCTGCGTGCTGCTTCTGGACTGATCTGTCAACATTAGTGATTTAATGACGACGGTGGGACGGTTGATCATGGGATCTAATCTATCGTTGCAGTTCTGCAGACGTCCTCCAAGCGAAATTGCTTGCCTGTTGCTGCATCCGCAAATTGGCAGGTTGATGCACTCTTGCTCTTGAAGAGGCCTCCGCGAAGCAGGGTATCTCCAGTCTGCAAAGTCAACAGAATCTGAGTGCGTGAAGTTTGTGGAGACTAGTGTCCTAGACTGAATGAAGCTGATGTTGCCTGCAGGCAGCTTTACCAGCGAGTGCAGGGCCTTGAGCAGGAGAGGGCGCAGTGCTTGCCTGGCGGGGGGGGCCTGGTGCCGGTGCCATTTCCGTTCATTTTGAGTGCTCTCTTGCAGTATTTCTGGAGCTTGGGATTTTGAGGAATGAGTGCCACACACGAGCGCTGCATGAAGAAAACCACGTCCTCGCAGCCAGGAGCGTGCCTTTCTGTTGTCGCAACGCGAGGAGGCAGCAGCAGCCCCAGCTGAGGCTTGCAGTCTGACTGGTACCTCTTAGATCACTTAAGGGTCTATGTGAACACAATATCAAAGGGCTCACCTTATCATATTGACTATTGATATAGCTACATGCATATGATGTATTGAGGGGACCTTGACTTGATTTTCGTCTTGGTTTCAGTCAGAGCAGCTGTCGTCGATTGCTGAGGTGAGCGAGCGGTCCTGCATTGCCTGCTTAGACCGCCTGGCCAACACAGCAACTCAGTGGCACAGACTGGTACGTGATTGACCTAACTAGAACAAGAACAAAGTTTTCAGGACCTCCCCATAGACTCATAGACTTAACGCCACAAGGATGTTGCTGAAGCCGCAATTTGTTGCGGTTTCTAGACGGGTTCGGAAAAGGGCGGGAGGGAAATCAGAATGAATGTGGGCTGCATGTTTCCTTCACTTCCAGGGCTTCATCCAAGGTACTTCTTCGCTGCAGGCACCTTTGCGTATGCGACGCTTCATTGCACTAAACCCTCTAGCCTAAGCCAAATGCTAAGACGGGAAGCACTGGCCGCAGAGGCAACAAGGTTTTATTCTCCAAGAGAAACTGCTTTTGCCAAGGATGGCTGCGCGCGGAAGGTGACCCAATGCCCTGTTTGTAGGCAGTCCGTGCGAGACCGGCTGACCGTGTACATGCCTTGAGCAGCTGCACTTGGCACTGCGCAAGGAAATGCGCGTCTTGCCAGACGCGACGCACGTCATACATCGGAAGCTAGAAGTTGAGTTGATCAGAGCGGTGGTAACTCACAAATCCCTGAGCCCAGGCTACGACTGCTTCACTAACTAATAGCAGAGAGAGCAAAGCCAGCAGATAAGATGTTTGCAAATGTGCGTGCCGCGTTTGGCTGGCCATGCTGGCCTCCAGCCTTGCACCTCGCCCTTTGAATTCAGCTGCACCCTCTCATCCAGAGAGATGCCCGCGCAGTAGTTGCGAAAGCCAGTGTTCCTGTGCTAACAAGACACTTGGACGTCACAATCACGGTACGGCTTTGGTCTGAGAAAATGGGCTTCTCTCGAGAGAGGCGAATCTTGGCAGACCAGCATCTGATAGCCTTGCTTGATCAAAGGGGCCTTGCCCCTCTTCTTCTGAGAGCCATAGCAACTGCGGCTGCAAGACGACTAGCGCTCAGCAGCGGCATTTCATAAATTACAAGGCCTAGGCCCAAAGGAAGCTTCCGAGCGTTCAGAAATTGAGAGATCAGATCGCTCAGCAAGGAAAAACACAATGGCATTCCAAACCTCCCGTGTCAAGAAGCTTGATAGCTCCTTAGCAGCAGAAATCAACAGAAAGGCTCGAAAAGACATCGTAAAGAGTGTAATGCAAAGCGCCCACCACTATTTTGGACCTGCCAGGCAGTAGAAGCTGACGCGTTCCAAGACTCGTCTCTATGCATGCCAGACGCCTTTGGCAGCAAAAGGCTGCGGCGGAGTGGCATTGCTTTCCTGTAGAGTCGGCTCCCTGCGCTGCAGACCTGCACGACCTGCGCATGCCAAACAGCAAAGTATTCTGGAGCTTTGCACAGCCGCATGCCGTATGCTGCATCTACCTCTTGCAGGATGTTGTGCACCTTGTGGCCGCCACGCCGCGGGACTGCTTCGTTTGGCAGGCTGGAGGGTGAAGCGGTGCTTTGAGAATTCTTGAGCGTCAACACTTCCCAACTGCGTTTGTAGTTCAAGCACGGCATTCTGCTCTGAATTGAATTAATGATGATCTGGGCAACATCGCCGCCCACAAGAACTCGGTGCTGGCCTCGTAGCATGCCTCATTGCAGGTGGAGCGAGATGCCGGCGCCGTACAGCTGGACGTTCAGGCCATGCAGCCACTGCTGGGTCGTTGCTGGAATGTGTAGAGTTCGACATTACGTGGCAAGGTGGCCGAGCAAAGAACTCTTTGGCCTGGCGACATGAACATGTTGCTGTCCCTGCCTGATTTGAAGGTGATGCCTCCATTTTTTCCAGCATTGGCCTTCGACGAGTTGGGATCTCAGCTGGATTAAATTATGGTAGCTTCGTCTCAAGTTGTCCTTTGTGCCTCAACTCAGCCAACACAAACTACCCGCATAATCAGTTCGGTTTGTGCCAGTGACAGGACTAGCGCCCTCGTAGCCGTGGGCAGTGGCGGCAAAGGCTTGTCATCCCATCGTCACATCTTACAGTCTAGGTGAGGCTGGAAGGCTTTGCTTCATCTTCGAGTGTTGAACTACTATCTCCACTTC